AGGGTGGCAATACTTACAAGTGATTAAAGTAAGATGAATATCAAACATAACCTTTCTTTATGCATGCATCAGGTTTTCCTAGCAGAAGAGATTAACAGTAACTATTAAAATACCTAAATTAAGTTTGATGATATTCTATAGTCAATGAATGGTTCAAGATAGGCCCAGTACACTGGAATAGTTGCTGCTAAAAATTGAAAAAAAAAAAAAAAAAACAGCAAAAAGAAGGGGACTAAGTGTTAGGAAACCCTGTTTTCAGGCTTATCTATGAAAGACATATCTGTCTTTCTCAATCCCTCTTTTCTTCAAAAGCCTTACTTTATGCCAAGATAAGATGAGGTGAATGATTTGCCATTTTGACTTCATTAAAAGTTATCCTTTTCCTGATCAAAGGGAGCCATCACAAAATAAGGTGTCTTCCCAAATTCTTGCAGAACAAGATTTCTCACTAGATATCACTGTTAACAGCCGCTGAAATGCCCACGGCATTTAGCTGACAGGTAGCACTGAAGATCTTAGTTCTCCCTCTCCTTTAATGATGCCGGCAGGTCTATGCTCTACCAGCTGCAGCCCCGTGTTTGAGAGAGCTTCCAGGTACCGCTGCTTGGTTCTGCCGTGCTGCACTCACGATAGGACAAAGGGGCAGCACAGCCTGCTGGAGAACTAGGTACTCAGCTAATTGGCAATAAACAGATTAACATTATCAACACAACATATTATCATAGCAGCAGTTATTTTAACACTGATTTCCAGTAATAATGGAAATAGCACTAGGCTGAATACAAGGAATAGAAACACAAAGGTGGTGATTCACAGTATGGTGTGAGATGCACACCAACATTAGCTCAAGGTGATACTTTTGTTAAAATGTTTTTTCTTTCCTTTGCTTTCTTTCACCCACAATGGAGGCATGCATGCAGAAGGGAAGGCCAGCATGGTGTTTTCTTTGGTTAGCCACTACTTTGGTAAGCTGCAACTTAGAATTATTCTTTCAAGAAGTAAGTCCAGCATTTTGTCTACCAAGAAATACTGAGCAAGAGCTACTGTATGCAAAATACAATTTAAAGCTATAATTTCAAATTAGATTCTCTTCACTCCTCAAGGAGAAACTTGAGTAGATTAAAAGAAAAAGAAAAATAATGCTGACAAAGAAACACCACTTCAAGTAGAAATGGTGGTATCAGATCTGTGTGAAGTTGTCAATCAGTAAGTAACCGTAGTGTAAGTGCCTGGGATCTGAAGATATCTTACAACAAAATGCATATTTTCTGAAAGTATTAAACAATATTTGACTCTCGGTAATTTGGTATTCCATTTTTTCTGATGTAGAAACTGCAAATGGGAGTAGTTTGCCCAGAATAAGTAGCACATAACTTCCTATATCTTACTAAAAAAGTTGTCAAGCTCTTTTTATTTTTATTCATCAATGACCTTGTTGAAGGGGCAGAGTGCACCCTCAGCAAGTTTGCTGATGATACAAAACAGAGTAGTAGCTCAGTCTCAGAGGACCTTCAGGGAGACCCTGACAGGCTGGATAATGAGGTTCTCCTCTCTCCATCTGAGTTCAACAGGGACAAGTATAGAGCCCTGCACATGAGAAAGAATAACCCCATGCACTGGCACAGCCTGGGGGTTGACCTGTTGGAAAGCAACTGTGCAGAAAAGGACCTTGAAGTCCTGGTTGACAACAAACTGACCATGAGGCAGCAGTGTGCCCTTGCGACCAAGAAGGCCAATGGGATCCTGGCCTGCATCATGAAGAGCGTTGCCAGCAGGTCGAGGGAGGGGATCCTGTCCCTCCCCTCAGCTCTGGTGAGGCCACATCTGGAGTATTGTGTGAAGTTCTGGGCTCCACAGTACAAGAGGGACGTGCAGCTACTGCAGCAAGCCCAGCAATGGCTACCAAGATGGTGAAGGGACTACAGCATATCTCTCATGAGGAAAGGATGAGAGAGCTGGGGCTCTTTAGTCTGGAGAAGATTGAGAGGGGATCTGGTCAATGTGCATAAGTATCTAAGGGAGGATACAAAGTAGATAGGGCTGGGCTCTTTCTAGTAGTAGCCAGTGACAGGAAGAGAGGCAATGGGCACCAACTGAACACAGGAGCTCTATGTGAAGATGAGAAAACCCTGTGGTTTTTTGTTTGTTTTTTTCCCCTCTCTGTTGGGATGATAGAGCATGGGAACAGGTTGTCCAGGGCTGTTGTGGCATTCCCATCCTTGGAGATGATCAAAACACAAGTGGAAAGAGTCCTGGGCAGTGTTCTACATATTGGACTAGATGTTCTCCAGAGATCCCTTTCAGTTTCAACTATTCTGTTATTCTGTGATCAATGATTCTCAATACAATGACCTGAGCCCCCAAATTATCACATGCCATCTCAGACTTTCATTGTAAAATTCAACAATGCATTTGAGCATCAGTGTGTCCCTTTATCATGGAATGACAGAATACTACATATTTCATTCAGGCATAGAAAGCTACTTGTTATTCTAGATTTTTGAAAGTAGTAAAGCATCTCACACTAAAAAGAATATATAAAACTAGACTGATAAATCTGCTTTTAAAGCCTGAAACCAGCTTAAGTGCATAGACATCAAAAGTGGTGGTAAAAAACAAACAAACAAACAAAACAGGCAATTGAATATAAGATTCAGAGCACCGGAGAAAATAAGGACATAATATTATAATAACAATAAAGAAAATAAAGCACAAGAATATCCTCATCTTGACATGATACATTCTTCATTAATAAGCCTTGTTATGCTTGAACAGCAAAATTTTAGACTGATACAAATGTTTCTTAGGTCTTACTGAAATTTTGAAGTGAAATGACCCTAAACCTGAGATGTTGCCCGACTCAATGTTCCTGTCATCCCCCTGACCCTCCCCCAAGCACTCATGCCAGCACTTGCATCTGCCAGTGCTAGCATTTTTCCAACTATACAGAGACAGATGAAGAAGTTGATCCAGCTGAAACTAATTTGTCTTGTTTCAGATTCAGTTCTCGTTGTAAATCAATGTACATCCCGCCTTCCTTCACTGAATACGCTTATAACTACTTCATGCTTCACTCTCAGGAAAGGCCATTCTGCCCTCCTCTTATGAGGTTAACCTAAAACTATTGTGTTACATGCATTACTGTTCTCATCAGGAACACTAAATACCTATTAGACATAATGTACACCTTATAAACAGAAATTAATACTACCACGAGAAAAAAAATAGTATACAACTTGAAACTTTCAGGATCTACAAATAGGAAATATTTAAGATCAAGTTTACAAACTCAGAGAAATTGCTGAATTTGGTAGTAGCTTATAGTTTTATCTTTAAAAGACAACACACACTTTAGAAAGACCAAAAGAGCTCTTACTTAGAAGCTTACTATGTATTTCATTTTGGAGTGAAGTGGTCCAAAAGAGGAAGAGGGAAGGAAGCTTACTTTATATACACACGATCAACCAATTGAATTATCAACTATGCTTACAAAAAAAAAAAAAAAAAAAACCCTAACAACAAAAAGGAGCTACCTTTCTAAGACTGTGTTTAATTAATTTACTGGAGTTACTGCTGTGAAAGTTCATTGAGACAAATATAAAAGCTGTTTTTTAAAAGGGTTGGATAATTTTCTGATGGTAAACAACACTGGCAGCTTTGTAAGCAGAGACAATGATGTAACAGTAATTAAATCTCACGCTTCAGGGTATAAGTAGAATCCCTCTGCCGTAACTACAGCATCAGCTGTTGCTAACAATATTATTTTTCATACCATGTGTGTAAATTCCCAGGTGAATTATGACATCTGATCCTCCTCCTCAAGCTACTCACTACAGCACCTGTATTTCCATGTGAACCACTACACAGATTCCCATCAGAAAAGGGAATAATACTGAGCTGAGACACTCTCAAGCCACCTATTACTAATTTGCCTTTATCTGACTCCAGAAGACCATTCCTTTATCACTATTATACACATAAAAATGTTAAGTCACTTCCTGTAATACAAGAGCGATGACTTGGACAATAGGAAAAAAGGCAGACTGAATGAAATTCGTTTTTTCCAACAAACTTCCTGAAATCCTATACCATTGATAGGATTATTCATTACATATTGACAGGGTAACTGAGACCAGAGAAAGACAGCAGAATGGAAATTAGTCTGTAAACAGATCATTAAACATATTAAGTGAACATTGAAAACCTGACAAAATACTTGTATTTAACTGCTACAGAGAGTTGCATAGGTTTTAAAAGGGTACGTGAGCACAGGAAGTCCTGTATCTATGAATTTCATTCTACTCTAAGTCTCTTTGCCTTGCTCAATGTTCAAACATTTTACCAAGCTAAAACTTCAGAAAACATAAATAAAAGCCATTGATTCAGCAATAACCTGAAAAGAGAGGAGAAGAGGAAGCCAGCAGAAACATGGAAAAAAATATTTAACAAAAGTAAGTGTGCATCCAACGTCTGGAAATTTAATAAAAAACACTATAGATCTATGCAGCACCTTTCAGAATACTTCATAGAACGAATAAGCAGGATCATCTGTAAGGAGGATGAAAAACCCACCAAAGTTATGTTTATGAATATGAATTTACATGCAATTCAAGAGGATTTTTAGAGATTTGTCAAAGAAATAAGATTTTGAAGAGATTTAACACCCAGACACGTTTTAGCATACTTTCTCATATGTATATACGCGTGTGCATACACACACACACACAAAAGCTTAAATATAAAATAGTAGAAGTTACTAATATATTTTTGGAAGAAGTGGTTCAATAATGCTACTGGAAACCACTAGATCTCTACATTTATCTGTCTAGGAAAGACCAACAATATACAAAATAAGAGCATTGAGCCAATAACATATAAAATCATTAGTATAGAACTATTAGCATAGACCCATGCCACACTTCTCAATGTTTATTACTTTGCAGGAAAGGAACCCAAAAGACAATCTGGAAAGAGCCATAGCCAAGAGGCAGCCGAACTACTCGCGACACCAGGCTGTGCGGGTGGCCTGTGCTTTAGCGTAACGCTAGTAAGTCGTTCATCGGTTAGAAACGAAAGCTGAGCGTCGCGTGGGTTTTCACCGAGATCGAATTCCTGGTGTCTGTCGACAGCCGAGCCAAGCAGGGGCACACGAGCCCTGCTGCTCCTTCCTGCTGCCGAGCGTGGCCGGGAGAAGCGAGCCCCGCGCACGGGCACCGCGCGCTCCTGCGGCCCCGTGCGCCGCTCGCTCCTCGCAAGCGAGGGGTAGTGGCGACGCTGACTACAATCAGGTTGCATAACTCTTGTAACAGGGATCTGTGTCAACCTATTTCAAGTCAGATGCAGGGCTTTCCCATGCCCTCAGGCTTTCAAGGGTTGCCAGATACTGCCACGCAAGGATAACAGCCTTTCAGAGTTGCTTTGCCTTTGCTTTCTGCATTCGAGGGATAGGAATAATATCAGTGCTCCATCTTCACAGAATAAAAGTCAAGCGGACAGCTTCTCGATAGAACATTTCTCACCTCTGCCACATCAGACCAAAGGAAAAAAATACAGTGAATTGTTAAACGGAGAGCTTTTCCAAGTTTCTTGTATTTTATACTCCTATATTAAATCTGGTTATCCGTGATGTGAGAAGAAGCTCTATTACTGTAAACAAGATCTTTGTTATCAACGACAGACTTAGCTAAAACAGATTAACAATCATCCTATCTAATATCAACCATTGGCTTTTAGAGAGAAAATTCAACATTAGTAACAGGGATGTATTATAGAAGGCATCATTAATAGCCAACACCAGAAGCAGAGCTCGTTCACTTCATTTTCTTAACTGCGCACTTCATGAGCACAGCTAAAGCATTTTCTGCTATATCATTATTTTGATTTATCCTAAGAATACGACTTTTTTAAAAAAATGCAGAATGAAAGCACATACAGATACTGAATTAGTGGTACAAAGGGTATATTACTATAGGCAAGGACTTCAGAAGGCTTGTGGGTAACATGGTGAAAGTGACCCTGCTTTGACCAGGGGTTTAGAGGAGATGACCTCCAGTGGTTTCCTCAACATATTCTGTGACGTTGCAAGTATGTTCTTGCACTTTAGCATGAACTATCGGAGATGAAGGTAAAAGTATTTCATTAAATTAGTCAATAGATATGGAAAGAGTATCATCATTTTACTATTAAAAAAATAGGAGATGAAAACAGATTAGTGGAGTGGCATCTGGAACCTTTTTCCAAAGGCTCACAGAGAGCACTGCAAAATACTTGCACATGTGCAGGCAGTGCTGTGTAGTAAAATACCTGTGCTGCTCCATGGCTCACCAGAGCACGCTGACATCTATCCACCTTCATCTCAGCTTTAGAATTGTTGATAAAATGGGAGGGTTATTTCTCTTGCATTCATCATGGTGACAGAAATGAGAACTCCCAGCACCACAGCATAGCAGGAGTTTTTTTACTGCCTATCGAGTATTAGAGAATTATTTGCTATAGTAAACCGTATACACAGGCTACCGTGACATCCTTTAAAGAGGGAGGTAGGAGCTAGTCATGTCAAGCTCATCATCATCTCAGAGATGTCATTGCAATAGTCTAACCAGGGACAGCAAGAGGTTTTTTTTACTTCATTTTTTTTTAATTAAGGGAGATCAAATGCTAAAACAGCTTGCTGGAGAGGTTTAGGATTCTGTTTTTCGACATACTGAAAATTAATCTGGACAAGACCTAGAGTAACCTGATCTAGTTTCACAATTGCAATTGCTTTGTTCAGAGGGTAGAGTGAATACTTCCAGAGGCTCTTTCAGGCCTAAGCTATGATTAGCTCAGACAAAAAATCAGTAATCTGACATGTAACTAACTTTACATGTAGTAATCTCATATGCAAGTCTTCATTCATACATAAGATAGCTTTATCTTAAGTATTTCATAAAAAGATGTATACATAGACAAGAGTTTCAATGTAGCAGAAAAAAATATGTTTCTCAGCATTTCTTCACGCTCCTAATACTTTGATTGCAATGTTCCCTCACCTGGGACATTGGGCTCAGGTAACTCCTTGCAAGGTTGCATCTTCCCAGTACATTCAGGGTGAAGCGACGCTATGGCATTTTTCCTGGCACAAGCAGTGTACTACATTTAGTTGCCCTAGTTGCTATTTACTAATTGATAAGCCAGTCCCTCTAACAATCACAGTAGTTAATGGTGGATGCTGTTATCACAAACATCTTGCACTGGTGAATAAAATCAACTACCTAAAGCCCAGTGGCTGTTGCCCCTCTGGATTATTTTGCTGTCACCTTTAACAAACTAGCAAAAGCACCATCCCAGACCCAAGGGTTCGGTCATCTTCAAAAGTAAGAAATTAGAACAGTCTTGCAGGGTCGTGCACCACCATGCTTGTTCCCAAAGTACTAAAGTACAAAAGGGTGTTAAGAGGCCAGTTTGGATTTTGTTAATGCAGAAGTTGCTAGAAAAATATTTAGCAATTGGAAAAACAGCTCTAACAGGACTGAAACTGTTACAATCCATGATGCAGTAAAGAACAAATAAAAGGAGTTTTATTTTGTCTTATAAGAAGTATAAGCATTCAAAAGCACCTCCTTCCCACTGCTTCAAATATAAAAAACATAGATACTGTCACCACAAATGCATATTGCCCACCGTTTCAAACACTGCCTCAATTCATTCATTTTACCTCAGTTAGACACTCAGATTAGCCTTCTCATGCCAAATGAAGAGCAGCAAAAATGCAGAATACAACATTGCTGGACATGACCTTTCATTATGCTCATAGTCAATCTATTTGTCTTATGTCCAATAAACTACTCCATTATTCTATAAGATCTCCTCAGTATATTTAATACAAGCCAACTGTTTCCACTGAAAGCTATCATTTACAAGGGTACTTTTCACTAAGTTGCTCCCTTTTGCTTCACTCTGTCTAAAAATATACCCTTCTGCTATACTACTAATTCATGTTCTATTTCTCTAAGAAATAACATTCAGGTTGCTGACCTTCAGGGCTGCAAACTGTATACTGTTCTTCATGTCATATGTTAAATTACAGACGCTGAGATTGTGTTTTTCTTTCAATGTAATTGTACCTAAAAAAATATAATATGTTAGAGTTTTAAAGGAATTTATCAGAGCAAGTACAACAGGATCAATATTTCATGTTTTAGGTTATTAAATTTCCACTAAAGAACCTATTCATCAAAGAGACCTACACATGTATTCTTCCCATTTTTAATCTCTTAAGACATGCAGTGCATTATATGAATAAGTCAGAAAACCAGAGAAAAATATCCCTGCTTCCACTCTGGCTATGGGTGGAAGTTGAACAGTGGTATTGATTAAGCACCTCAAATATATCGGGCTTTGACAGAAATGTCCCCTGCCCTTAGAAATCAATGCAAGATGAATCTACTTACCCTTTTCTTCATGTGTCATGGAACTGCACTGTTGGGAGCAAAGAGAACAGGTCAGGCCCTCCCTCTGCTGTGAAGGGGGACCCATGCAGCGTGCCTTAGCACAGATCTGGCCAACAAGCAGTAAGATACTTCCAATATATTTTCACAGTTCTACTTAGTAGTTCTCTTGCTTTGCATGCACCCTCACACAACACAGTTTCAGACCTGTACTAATTTTTCCATACACTAACAAGGTCTGGAAGTGCTGATATAGCTACCCCTACCTATGAAAAGGGCCAGTCTCAAGAAAGACTTAAAGCCTTTTCATTTTGCTTCTCAGAAAGGCTGGAGTGACAGAGGGTAAAAAATAAGGATAAAAAGAATATAACATAAAGGCGGCTCCTACTCAGTTTTCCCTAAGCTTCTTGACAATGTCATCAACTCTCATCATAGGAAACAAGGGCAATATCAAAGGCTGGAAATACAGATCGCTCAGTCAGATATGACCTTTCCTGTTTAGACCAACAAATGTGTTACTGTGGTCATTTAGACATATTGTGTCAATTAACTTACAGAACAGGGGTCATGATATTCTTGAAACTTCTGAGAAGCTGTGCAAAAATAATTAAGTCAGATATAAGTGATGGAAATGCCCTTATTTTCTAAATCAGTTTTCATCTGACCAGTATGTTATATTATAAACAAAGCAAAAAAACAGCCAGCCTATCTAGCATATGTTTGGTTAATTATTCTGCCACTACAAAATTATCAGGAGTAACAGAGATGAGTTCAAGTCTGATACTAATCTACTAACCTGCCATTACTTTATCAAATACTTTGGCAGTTCTTCATGCACTTTTTCTTTCCCCCTCATTTAATATTCCACTTCCAGAGGACAGGAAAGTAGTAACCAGGGAAATAAATGTATATTCTATTTCTACATAAATTGTAGAGGAAACAATCTGTTGTATTAAACAGTGATTTTAAAGTAATTTAATCGGTTATTCTTTTAAAAGTAATGTTATTTTAGTTTGGAAAAAGTACATAGTAACACTGTTCAATAAAGGAAAGACTAAAAGAGAGATTAGCAAGAATAACATCCAGATTGATGAAAAGGAAAGAGAGAAAAACAGACAACTCAGACTCTCATCCCTTCTTTGGGAAAGCAGAGAAAGGCAGGAATAGTCTCTTTGGGAAACAACTGTATCAAAATCTCAGAATAACTGCCATGAGCAGAACAAGAAGCCAGAAAGCATACTGTGCAGTACTTTCAAAAACATTACTTTTACAAAATGAAGTGTTTGTTTTTAGTGAGTTTCATTTGAATTGATCTTATTTCTTGTGCAACTCATTTGTATGCTATATGCAATCAAAATAGAAAAAAAAAAAGAGATATTTGGTTGTTCTAGAAAGAAAACTTTTCACTTGTCAAAATTTTACTTTTGGGCAAATTATACGGGATTTTCATCCTGTAAATTTTTTTAAGTAAGTAAGTGACTTGTTTTTAAGTTATAGCCAAGGTTGTTTACAAAATTGTTTAAAAGCAATGTAAGGTAGGAAGGGTATTGTTCTACTTCAACTAGAACTAATGGAATTTCCCTAGGATAAATGGCAGCTTTAAGGAACGTATGTACAATGAAAGAAACTGCATGAACATACTGATATATCACGGAGTTGAAACTAGTACTGTTGATAGGGTACCTATGCTAGCTTATGAGCTGCACTGCTCATTTGGACTGACATTCACAAAGCTTTTTGTCAGCTCACTGGGCAGAGGGAGCAAGCAGGCATCTAGCAAAGGCTTTATATACCTAAATATTATGTGTAGCACAGAGGGACAAGCATCACGTGGCTGTTGTCTCTAACTGCACAGACTTTAAATTA